GTCATCGATTGAGCGTTCGGTGATAGTGCATATCGTGCTCGTTTCGAGGTTTCGGAGTTTTGGCTGAGAGCCTTGCCTCCAGGCCTCTGAACTCTTTGTGCTTTGGCTCGGTTAGTAGATCGAACCTTGTTTCTCTTCCCTGGAGGGAGGGAGAGGTCTTGTAGACCATCTCTTTGTGGTCTACGACCACTTTTCGTGGTCGTAGACCACTTTTCTCGTTGGGAGACCAGTGTCCGGTTTTCAGAGCCCTCGGCCGCGTGCCTTGACTGGGACCACATAACGTTCTCCGTTTGGCATGGTTTTTTAACCACACCTTGTTGCCTCTACCTAGAGGGACACTGTGGTCCGGGAGACAATTTTTGATGCCCGTAGACTAGTTTTCGAGGCTTTCGGCCACGTGCCTTGCCTCCCGAACTTTCGTCTTGCATCCGTTTTGGTTTATTTTTGGTACAAACCTTGTTTTCCTTATTTGGAAGGTGGTACAAGGGTGGGAGACCAGTTCTTCCCCTTGGAGACCACTTTCCTCCTCGCCAGCCAGTTTTATGTCGGCCAATTGGTTTTCTTGGTCTTTCCACACCACTGCATTGTTTTCATGCTCTAGACTCTCTCCCACCATGGCCGACCATTTGTTGTCTTGGGAGACCACTTGTGGTGGTTGATCGACCACTTCAAGTAGCTGGCCGACCACTTCAAGTGGTCAGCTGCTTTTTCTCACCTTTTTAGAGATATTTTCATCCAGCTGGCACAGCTGGAAGGCACTAGAACCATCCTCCATACACGTGTATGGAGGGATGGCTTTGAGACCCTAAGCTTGTCCAATAAGCTTGAGCTTGGTTCTCTATAAGAGAGAACCTCCTCCTCCCTCCTCTCAGTTTAGTTCTTGAGGCTTGAGAGTTATACATATATACTTGTATCTATCTTGCTCTTGTTCTTCATTTTGTGCCTTAAAAGTGTAGCTTTACCACACTTTAACACACAAACACACACTCAAACACCATCCTTTTGTTGCTGAGGCTTCTTGAGGTTGTTTTTGGTGCTTTTGGACTGGATTTGATCCAAGAAAGCTGCTGGAGTGGTAGTCTTGAAGAGGTTCTACAAGGGTGAGCCTTTATCCCCTTAAACCCCTTGTTTTGCTTAAGCTTTTAGACCTATTTGCATGCTGATTTAAGCTTAACTTCCTACTGCAAAAAAGTTCTATTTTTCAGTCCTTAAAATGTTTGTTTAAGGTCGCTTTTTTGTTGGGAGTGGTCTACCCCCTCTTAGGCCTTGTTAGGCCTTGTTTTGAGCCATCCCTTTTGGCCCTTGTTCTAGCCTTTGCATGACCTTTCTACCACTGAAATCCAGAGGATTTTTAGTGGTGGAAAGGTGGTTTTGGGGTCCCAAATACGAGAGGGTCATCCCCTCTCCTTGTGTCTTATATACTTGTCATATTTGCCTCATGTTTGAGCATGTTTATTAAGCTTGTGTTGGCTTGTTCTTAGCAGTATTTGTGGTTATTTTGAGATGGCATGCCACTATTTTTGGTTGTCTTGATCATCCCTTCCATGCGTAATACACTTGTAGTGTAAATCTTATAAACTAGCTTTGTGTGCCTCATGTTTGAGCATGTCTTTCTAGCTTGTTTTGGGGCTATCTCAGTAGGTTTTTGGTGTTGTTTTAACATGCCTTAGATCTGTCTTGGGTTGGTTTAGTTGGCTCTTGCATGCCTTATACACTTGTAGTGTAAATTTCATAAACTAGTCTTGTATGCTTCATGAAGTAGCATATCTTTCTAGCTTATGTTGACTCCATTTCAGTAGGTTTTTGGTGTTGTTTTAGCATGCCATGACTCTGTAACTAGCCTAATGTGTACCATGCTTTAACATGTCATTCTAGCATGCTTTTGGCTTAACTTCAAGAAGCTTTTGTCCATGTTTTAGCATGCTTAAGCTCTGATTTGTGTTGTTTTGGTCATGCATGCCATGCTTTGTATAGCTATAGTGCATTCTAGCTTGTTAGCTTTGTGTATCAAGTCCACTAGCATGCATTACTTGGACTATTTTCATGATTTAGCATCATTTGTTATGAGATTTCAGTGCATGTTTCATGGTCATGCACTTGCGTCTTTCACTTATTCAATGCGTTGGAGGGTTTTCCCTTTATGCCTTAACATGAACCATTGCGTATGCCTTCGTGCCTAAGCTTGCGAGCTATCATTTCAATGTGTTTTTGGGGTTATCTTGCCATGATATAACTCTGATTTTTGTTGGTTAAGTCATCTCATGCTTGGTCTTGGTAGGTGTAGTGTAAGCCACCTTATTTGCCTTACATGATCCTTGCTTTATGCCCTTCATGCTAGCTTGTCTTGGCTTCCTTCCATACATGTTTTAGTATCATTTTGACATGTTCTAGGACTGTTTTGGGTTGCCTTGGCCATATGCTTCATGTTTTGCATAGTTGTAGTGTAAGTGCCTATGCTAGCTTCAAGCTTTGGGTACCATAGCATGCTTCATTTGTGTTGTGTACATGATTTGGCATCATTTCATATGTTATTTTAGAGCATATAGCATTGCCATGTTCCCACTTCATTCACACTTTAAGTGCCTTTGAGTGTTGTGCATTTGTTGCCTAGCTTATGGACCAATGTGTATGCCATCTTGCCTAGGCTTTTGAGCCCCCATCTCAGCATGTTTTGGTCCTTTTTTAGATCTGTCTGGGCTCTGTCCATGGTTGGTTCATGTCTTTATGCCATGTATTGCATGCCCCTTGTGTAGTCCTCCTTGCTAGCTTTGTGCCTTTGGGACTCTTGCATGCCATACTTGTGTAGTTTGAATGATTTGGCATCATTTCTTACTTAATTTCAGTGCATACAATGTGGTTACACTCCCATGTTTATCACTCTTTGAGCACTCTTGAGAGTTGTGCTCTTATGCCTAGTTGATGGGCCTTTGCATTGTGTATGCATTTACTTTGTGCTTCATGCCTTAGTTTCATCATTGTGGCCACTGATTTGGACATGACGGAGGTCCATCCATTTTGGTTTAAGTCCATCGAGCATATTATGTGAATGTTATTACATTGCATCATATTGTTGCATGCTTATGTTGCATTGCATTGTGCATGCATTAGCATTATTTGCATGTCATTAGCTTTGTTAAGTTAATCATGTCACATTGCATTGAGTATGCCATGTTCTTAGCATTTAGCATTGTGTATGCCATGTTGTCTACATGCTTAGGTCATATTGCATTGTGTATGCCATATAGTTGCACTGTGTTTTGCATGTTGCATTGCATGTTTGCATGCTTGAGTTGCTTGCATTGTGTTTGGATTAAGTGTTAGTCCAAACACGAGAAACGAGGGACGTTTTATACTTGAAGTGATGAAACGTGCCTCAATTCTCGATCGTCGACTCTCTTGATCATACATGATAGAGTTCTAGGCTTTATGTGTTTATGTGTGTATTCATTTCATATTGATTTATGCAATTTGACTTCCCGGCCATCATGCATCGAGATGCGTGATTAGTGGCCCGAGGCTCGAAAACCACACTCCCTTGAGCTTGTGAAATGATAGAGAGGATGGTTGTGTGCACATATCTTGCAAATACATTGCCATGCTCTTTCTTGCTCTCTGTTGCAGCAATTTGGAGTCTGGCAGCAACAACTGGTCAGCCAGCCAGAAAAACTAGCTGGCCGACCATTTTTTCTGGTTTACAACAATGATAGGTGGTCGGCCAGTGGCTAGAAGCACCAACAACTGGTCGGTAGCCCTCCCACATGTCCCCAAGGTGTATTAGAAGCTTTTTGGAGCTTGGAGCAAGGTTCTGAGAACAGTTGCAAACAAAGGCAAATTGGGGCATCGTGACGGATTTCCGAACGAGGCGACTAAGCATGTTTGCATTCTTCTCCCTCTGAGGACATTGTTTTACTGCTTTACTTAGCTAATTTGCTTAGCTAGTTCATGCTTTGGTCTGTACTTAATTAGTTAACGCGCTTAGCTGTTCAATTTGTATTGTAATAGCTTAATTAGTTAGCTTGTTAGTTAATTAGTTTTGTGATGTAATAATTAGTTTAATTAGCTTAGATTAGCTAGTTAGCTTCTTATTCAGACCCTCCGTCGAGAAGGCCAATTGTTGTAATAAGCGTGCGTATGTGTGATGCATGTCTTCCAACCCCCATTTCTTTCTCCCTTTTACTTAAACTGCTTATGATGGTTAGTTTTATGGCATATTTCTATTAGCATACCTTATGCTTGCATGCGTGCATCCATTCATCTGTATTGCATACACCGGGATTGGCGTATCATACTAACTGCATTGTATTTCAATACCTATTTGAATACATGTACCAAGTTGCATTTCATACGACATCTTAGAATAGCCAAGCCTATCTGAGTTGCATTTTCTCATGTGTTACATTAGCCATCTTAACATGAACTAGGGTCATGCATGATTTCTAACTAATTCTTTGTTTTGGCTCGGAGTACACTGTGAGTGTTTACGCTTTAGCATACTGCATGTGTGTTATTGTTGCCATGAAAGCGTACTTGCCATGAGGCTAACTGCTTATATTATATAACTGCTTGAATGCCTGTGGGTGAAGGTTGGATTACTTGAATTGGAACAATTCATTGAAATCCTCGATTTAGCCTACTTGTGAGTAGCAAACTTCAAGTCATTTTCAAACAAACGAACATGCAATGTTTTGTTCCAACTTAGGCGATCTAGTCTATACTTGTATGCTGTGCACATCACATAGTAATTCTAGGTTAATAACCGGAATAAGAACACATGTGTTTTCAAAAACAAGATATCATGCTTAGTACAGGCCGATCTTTGATCGGGCGAGCGGGGGTGCTCATTGCATGACCTTCCCCTCTCGTATCCAAGTTCCCGAGTAGAGGCAACTTTAGTGATGACGGACACGTGGCCTTAGGCACGAGTCAGTGTTTCCTAAATTCCCCCAAAATAAAATATTTAGGTGACAACTCTGTATCTGGCAAAGCAGTCCATGTTTGGCACTTCTTTATTAAAATCAGTTTTTCAAAACGATTTGCCAGATTTGGACTTTTGGTGATTTATCAATCTTACATTGCACTCTGTGAGATCAAATTAAGAACCGTGACATTGAGTTCGAACTTGTACTAGCTAGAGAACAAACGGAATTCGCGCCCTCGCAGACGCGGAGCCCGAGGAGTTCTCGGGGCACATCTACAATATTGTTCATGATGAAGATGAGATATTCTAATGCGGGACCAATATGTACATCACATTATCAATGAAACAAGAGCAACTGTCTTACTAAAAGAACGTGGTTCAGGAAATTCTGAAAGTGCATTCGGCGAAGGTTGTACTTGTGGTGCCATATAACCGTTTTGCAATTTGGATAATATGGATTGTGTAGCATATTGTTCTTCAAAGCACTGACCATATTATTACTGTTACTTTCTATTCTTGCAGAAGGACAGCAGCCACTGCATTTATACTTGTCGAGTAACAATCCAAAAAGTATTGAAAGTGCAAAGCTTTTGGCTAAAAATCTTTTGGATACAATCAGCATAAAGTTTCATGCCTTTAGGTAATTAGGTTTAATTTATGCTTATGTTTATAATAGAGTATATGTGAATATTCTCAATAGGAGAATTTTGTCCTCTAAAATTGCGTGAGGGTAACTTAGATTTGTTCTTTTCTTAATTGATAGGTACTTGGAGAATGTAAGCATTTTGGGTAATATGTTGGCATAACATTTTTTATCTTTTTTTGAGAGTTCATATGATGGCCTGTTTGGTGCGACTAAAAACTAATAATTAGAAAGTGGAAACTAAAAGCACCCATCCCGATAATCAACCTATTTTTGCCTCATTAGCTGTAAGCAAATGGCTGCAATGCACCAAACACACTAGCACAAACTCCTAAAGTTTAAAAAGAAATTAGCAGTCCCTATAAGCTGCACTAAACAGGCTGAGCTCTTAGAAGATAGATAAACTTTTTGTTTTTTGTTTTTTTGTTTTAATAATATTTACAATTTAGAAATACTTGTGTTTCATTGAGCATGTAGTATTCAATACTCCTTTTCTCTACAACAGTATTTTTTGTGTTGTTAAAGGGACTTTGTCACAATCCATAGGATTGAGCTACACATCCTGGGATCCTGCCATCAATCCTTAGCTATACATCCTGGCATCACCACAACCCTTCTTCAAGGGACTCTGTCACAATCCATAGGATTGAGCTGCAGGGCATTCTCAACCAAACATGGTTTGCTATCCCCAGCCTTCGTTATCTAGTGGAATGAGCTATAGTGGATATTGTGGGATATATCCTCATGCCCACCCCTTTGCAGCAAGTTGCCTTAGCCCTTAGAAAGTCACATTCTCTTGTCAATTCAGCAGTTGCTCCTGCAACAACAACAGAAGCAAGCACAACAGCGAATTCTAGCGAGATCTTGTCTTATAAGGACAAACGGCGTCTGCATAAATGAAAGTTTCAAGAGTTACCAACTGCTTCAAAGGGGCGTGCAAACCCCCATAAGGTATCTATGCTTACTCTTCTTGTCCTGGAGGGTTTTGCATTTTATAGCCTTTTAAGAGAACAAAGGAAGAAATAACTACATTAGAAAAGCCCCATCTTTCAATTTAAATTAATTAGAAGTTATAACATGTTGAATATAAATAAAGGATGAACATTTTACGGCATTTGTCATGATTATTTTGACAATAGTAAACCTACACTAGATTTTAAATAAAGATTTCTTAAGATGGTAATCATTCCCTTGAAGTGGTAAAGCATGTATGATGCTCTAGGGTTGCAAGTGAACATGACAATGATAAGCCTTCCAAATTTAATGGTGCAAAATTGTTTGAAATTTGTAAATGCATTGCATGCATCTACTCCCCTTCTGTCTCTTCCCTCGAAATGTTGTTGGTTTATTTGTTTCATTCAATAATTGAAAGAAATGTTTGTTTACTTTTGATTTTAATGAAACTATGGCCCTTTATCCAGTGGAAAGGAAAAAATGAAGTCATGTTACCGATCTTAAGTAGTTGGGAATAAGGCTTTGCTATAACTGTTGGTCTGCTGCTGCTGCTGTTACTTACTGGTCTGTTGCAGCTACTGCTTCCCTGGTGGCTGCTGCTGTTGCTTACTGGTCTGCTGCAGTTGCTGGCTTGCTGCAGCTGCTACTTCCCTGGTGGCTATTGCTTGCTGGACTGCTGCTGCCGTGGAGGCTGATGCTTGTTGGGTTGCTACTACTGCAATGTTGTTGGGGCGGCTGCTACTAGATGTTGGTCTACTGTAATGTTGTTGCTGCAATGGTTTTGTCCCTAGCCTTGGCTCTGTTTTGGTTAGTTTTGTTAGACATGTCCATATGTGTTTTACATTACTATTTTAAAATTTTTGTTTGATCCAGACATGCTTTAGATATTTAGGTTCATACATGAAACACATTATAAGTTTAAACAAAGTAACAGTCTAGTGGTAAAAGAAAAACAATATGTAACTTTATGTCTCATTCTCTAAACTTTACCAATTAATGTTATGTTATATATTTTTTTAAAATTATATTTGAATAAAATATTCATCTCTATGACATATAAGAAATATACATCTCCTATGTGTTGTAAACTAATTTTTTGAAAATTGTGTCGGCATGTTGGTTTTCTATCACACGTTTAGAACTCAGCTTATTAGCTTTGAAGTTCTGGGTTTGAACTTGAGGGAAATCACTTTGTGCAAATAATGTCAAAGGTTAAGTCTATACCCAATTAACCCATTCCAAATCACCATTCAATAGGGTTTAAACTGGGTGTATTTTTTGTCCGCGTTGTGTTGTATCATGTCAAGTGCTTGCATTCATACTTCTTAGATGGTGACTGTTTAAACCATTTATTTAGTTTGTTTTATCTCCAATCTATGAAAAATAACTTACATATTACAAAATTACCCAATCTTAATTGCAACTTCAAATTCTTGAAATCAATAAGGAATCCTAATTACCACAATCATATTTTATTTGTAAAATTGAAAAACTAGGCCTACATTTCATAAAGAAATCTAGATCAATGAAAAATTACAATGCTTATATATTATGTATATGCGCGCGCGCACGTGTGTCTGAGGTGGTTCTTGCAGTGTTGAATTAAAGTGGGGTTGGTCGTCGTAGTGAATTAGGTTGGAATGGGTTAGAATGGGCTATTGTGGCTAATGAAGAAAGTGAGGAATTAGGGTTTTGTGTTTAAATTTAAAAGGGATATTATTGATACCATAATGAAGGCTATATGGTCTGATATGTCATGTTGTTAAGTTCTTAGTTGGATTATCAGACATCACCTTAATATGGGGATAGGCACAATTTCACATAAATACGAACAATCAAATAGGTTGAAACAATTAAACTAAAAAAAACCCTAAATCAGAAAGGGAAACAACGTCTTAACTTAAATATTGAAGTAATACAACAAATTGATCACCTATTGGAGTATCAGACTACGTTGAGGTGTGACTGTGAGAAAGAGAGAGTTGCCAATGGTGGTTGAAGGCCGGTGGTTGTGTTTTGGGCAAAACAAAATAATACTAACAAAACAATAATGGTGAGATGTGCATTGAGAGAGATGGAGAGATGGAGGAGCAACCACAAAACAATACTAACTGATTGGACCAGGTAGAGGTGCAATAGATTGTCCTTGGTGGTGGTGGAAAGTCGGTGATGGCAGAGGGGTGCAAAGGTAGTGGAGGAATGAGTAGGCACACTGACAGTGAGAGAGATGGAGTAGTGTGACATAGACTGAGAGACGAAGATAAAAGAATGAATATGAGAAATTAGATTTATAAAATGCATATATATATATATTTTAAAAACTGGTTTGGTTCTGTTTGAATTGCGGTTTTTGAGGTAATGCACTAACCGAGCCATCAATGTATAAATGGTTCTCAGCATTTAATAAACCAAGACCGGATCAGTTTTACACAGAACCAAACCGAACCATATGGACTAGACTAGTTTTTGTGATAGCCCTAGTTTCTAGTTAGGTTAGGTTGCTTGGATATTGCTCAATATCAACTGGAATTTAGGTTGGGTTACAATTTTGAAGCCTATAATTGGATTAAGTTTAGGAAAAGATGTCGATGCTTGATCAAGACTTGGGTCAGCCTTGGGTTAGGCAATATTGAGTTGAGCCCAACTGAGTTGCATATCTTTATAGTGGCATCTCAATTAGTGTCCATAAGGAAGCATATCATATCTACTTGAAGGATCCTGATTCCTGTGACTAAATAGACTGCAGTCGTAAAATGCATTGTGATTGTATGCAACTTTTTCTGATGAATAAGTGCCTACACACCCAATTATGGTGTTAAACTGGGATCACTTAGGATACTATGGTACTGACAACAACATGTCACTAGAGATGCCCTAGGTCCAATACAATCGCTGGTTTGCCCTTGATTTCATCTGATGCCAAGTTGTTTTGTAGAAAAATGAAAGACTTAAGTTGAATGAGAGAACATCATGTGGAGTCACACTCTTTAATATTATTTATATGTGAAAATATAACTGAAAGTACAAGAATACCCCTTCTAAACTATTGTTAAAATAATAACTAACAAATATATTTCTTAATTTTGAGAGTATAATATTTTTTCCATGAAATATATGATGGTTTCTTCCAGAGATTGCAATATGTGCTTTGCATTTTTGTGATTTAAAACAATTGGGTAAATATTGCTGATACTATTCCCTGATTAATCACAGGAAAAATCATTTGCCTTTTTGGCCCTCCTGGAGTGGGCAAAACTAGCATTGTTCGTTCTATTGCATGTCCTTTGAACCGTAAAGTCTACTGATTTTTTGTAAGAGGATTGTCTGATGTTGCTGAAATCATGGTAGATCATAACTTTTGAAACTGGGAGAAACATTATTACATGATTAAACATTGTTATTATGCAGATATCATTTTGTATTATTAACTTCCAAAACTACATGTAGGGGCATCGTTGAACCTACATTGGTGTAATGCCAGGAAAGATGGTTCAATGCTTGAAAAATGTGGGAACAGCTAACCCTCTTGTGCTGATCAATGAGATTGACAAGGTATGCCAGTCTTAATAACATCGACAACTAAATGGCTTTGTGTTCTGGTACTCTTTTAGTGTTCAGGATGGGTTTTCTTTGGTTGTAGAGCACAATTGCATGTCTAATATGGACAAAATTGGTTTTCGACCGATTAAAGCTTCTGAATATTTGTGATGATTATTTGTAGTGCATTCTAGAAATGACTTTTTTTGTTGTTTATTTTGTTTTTGGTTTTTCCTCGTGGTAGTTGGGAAGAGGACATGCATGTGATCTGGTAAGTGCTATGTTGGAACTCCTTGATCCAGAGCAAAATACAAATTTTCTAGATCACTATCTTGATGTTTCAATAGACTTATCAAAGGTTAGTTATTGTGGCGAGGATTTCCATCCATGATATTTGTCTTACAAGTGGAGGTTCTTATTTTTCCCAAGTGTTCTGCTGAAAACTAACAATTTATAGGGTTGTGTTAGGAATGTTTAGCTTCATCATTAGTTAGTCTGGACCCAACTCTAAACCTAACAAGCTTTACCAAATTGCTCCATTGTTTCTTAAGGTGGGGAGAATGTAACGACCCCAAAATGCGTATCAAAAATTATCTTTATTTAATTATGGGTTAATGTTCTTTAATTTAATCATATCTGTCTGAATTGAGGAATTATCTGCTGAGTTACAACTTTAAAACTGAAATTGCCGACTTTTATGGGTTCAAAAATCGAAATTGAGTACATAGATAAACTAATGGGAATTTTTAGAGCTATTTGGGAAAGTTAATTGAAAATTTATTTCGTCTGATTCGTTAAGGCGTGTTTGGGTGGTTAACTTTGCAGTGCAAATTGAAGGCCATAGAGGCTTCAGAAACCAGAACGGAGTACATAATTATGATCAGCGTGATTTTTAGAGTCATCTGGGAAGTCTAATTGAAATTTGATTTTGTGCGATTCGTAAGGGTGCATTTGGCTCTCTTTAATTGTGATAAGCTTATGTATGTATATATATATATATATATATGATATATGAGTTGAACTCATCACTTTTGAGTCCAAAATATCTGAGGGAGAGGGAGAGGACGAGAGAGAGAGAGAGTAAAAGAGAGAGAAAGCTTCTCTAAGATAGAGAGAGCTCAACATTCATGGGATTTGAAGACAAATTGAAGAGATTGAACAGCAAGGAAGAAGATCAACCATCAAAGCTTCGGAAAATTGAAGAAAGTTAAGGGAAAAGCAAAGATTGAACTAAGGTATGGAATCTATCTTGAATCCTTATGATTAATTCATCAATTTCATGAAGTCATAATGAGATTGGAAGATTTGAAACCCATTTGGGTTAAGGGTTTGTGTTATGTAATTAATTGAGCTAAATTTAAGAAATTAGAACTTGGGTCCTTTGATTTTGTTTATGATTGGAGCTCAATCTGCTGAATAACATATGAAATGAACTCTAGATTGTCCATAGAACAAGATTTATGCAAGGATCAAGTGTGTTTGTGAGTTGTGTTTTGGGAACTTTCAAGATTATGAAAGATGAAACATTGATCTTGAACTTGAAGCAAAGATTGATTTATGTGAGGTGAAATTACACTGGAATGATGCTAGTTTATCATGTTGTGGGGTAATTTTACATGTTTTTGAGTGATTAGAGTTGAAACCTAGCTTAGAAAGTGGAAAAAACAAGTGTTAGAGCCAACAAACATTTTCGGCAGCAGATTTTGCCCAGAGCTGCACGTTTCTCGCACGTGCGGCAGTCCATTTCCAGCGCCAAAAATGATTCTGAAATAAAAGCACCTTGTCCCGCATGTGCGGCTCAATTCCCGCACGTGCAGTCCTATTTCCCGCAGGTGCGGGGCACCCCGGTTCCAACTCAACTTCAGATAAGCATATCTCTTTCATTCGGACTCCATTATAAGTGATTCTTGAGCCTAAATTCAAGCCCCGGAAGTCTAGTTTCCAATGGTGGTAGTCTCACACCCACATTCTAAGTACACAAATAGATATGCTCAAATTAGTGAAGATTGTTCACTTTCTCTCTACTGATTTTATACCATTTCTTCTAACCCAGTTTCCTTTCGTTTCCTCCTATTTTTCTAGACACGGATTATGACCTACTGGGGACCAATGAGTTTAGAACTAACATAACTAATTGATTAAAGACTAAAGAAAGGGATTGGTTTTATTCATATGTTGTGTTATGTAATTGTGATTGTAGGTCAAGACGAGGACATCGTCCAACTACTACCAAAAGCCCATCACTGTGAGTAATAATAGTATAGTAAATATATGTTTTTCATTATCTATCTTGATTTATGTATGAAATGATTCTCTAAATGTTACATTTTATCTAAATGCACAAGTTTCCAAGAAATGTGAAATAAGTTATGAACAAGAAATGTAAATTATTTATAATATGATATGGTGGGCCTAAGGCCGTTCTGTTTATCTGTTTCGCTTATGCTATGGCATCATATGAATTGTTTGGTCTTTAAAACCTAATCATTTTGGTATGGAACAAAGTGTTGTACGGAACTAAGTGCTACAGTGTGAGTCATCTCTAGAGTCCGTACGAGTCACCTCTTTAGTCCATACATACATGAATTGGGCCCAATGAGAGGTGGACACATGTCGATGTTCCATCTACTCCATGATTAGATACGATATGATATGTTTGGACCTAAGGTCATTTTGATATATGATTGGGCCCAATGCCGTTTTGTTATACATGGACCCGAGGTCGTTCAAAACATATGATATGAATACAAATGTTTTACATCGCTATATGACTCATGTTACTATGTGTTATTTTATATGCATGAATGGATGCCCTTTTTTGAAATGTGCTTCTAACCTTTTGTATAAGTGAGCGTACCACGCACCACATAAAATATTTTGTAATAGTTTCAAGCATGTATTCCATTTGAAAAGACATGGATTATGATAAGATAAATGTTTCTTTTGAAATAATTTAGGATACGTTTCCGCATTGTGAAATATGTTTTTCTAATGTTAAAGACATCATTCATTCACCTCTTTAGTCCATACATACGAGTCACCTCTTTAGTCCATTCATTAACCTCTTTAGTCCATCTCTCTGTCAAGCCGCCCGGGTTATGCCTCCGTGTCGAGGCTTAACTTTGTATTGGAGAATTATGTATTTTTTTGAATCTTATGTATTTGTGTGTGAGATCTATATAAGTTCTGTGATTATATATGTAACTATGGAAAGTATATTTAAATACTTAAGTTAAGGAATGGAAACGGGGCGGGGCGAGGCAGGGGACCACACTCCCCATCCCCGATCCCCGATGGTAAAAGTTTCCCCGTCCCCGGCCCGATCCCCGACGGGGAACCTATCACCATCCCCATCCCCGTCCCCAACAGGGATCGGGTTTCCCCGACCCCGAAAATTCCCCTGTCCAAATCTGTTTAACAATATCATCAACAACCACCCTGGTCCAAATCTATTAACAACATCATCAACAATAACTTTGAACATCAACATTATCTACAAAATCATACACACAAAGAGGGACACACACATACATGTATACACATACACACAGAGACACACACACATACACATCTATATATACACACACAGAGAGGACGATAGAGGAGCTCGGCGGAGATCGGCGGCGATGACGGAGGAGATCAACACAGATCTGAGATCTGTGTATCTGTGAGATCAACACAGATCTGAGAAACAGAGAGTGGTGACTGCGATTGTGACGGTGGCTGCGATTTGTGACGGTGGCTGCGACGAACGATCAATGACGGAGGACGACCGAGAATGAGACAAACGACGGCGACTCTGGCATCGCGGATAGTGACAGAGGCACTAAGGAGAAGCGAAGGAGAGGTGCGAGAGCGAGAGAGAGTAGAGAGAAGCATCGCGGAAGCATCGCGGACAGTGACGGAGGCACTGAGGAGGCACTGTGTATCTGCGAGAGTGAGAGAGAGTAAAGGGAAGAGAGAGAGTAAGAGAGAGAGAGAGTGGGACAGGGGTCAATGAAATATTATAAATAGATTGATAGACAATAGATATATGAAGTTTACTTCGGGGGTGTAACGGGGACGGGGACAGGTGTAGAAGCGCCCGCGTGAGGCCTCACTACAGTTCGGACTCAATTGTGTCATGGTTCTTAATCTGAACCAAAGAGTCCAAATCCGGCAAATCGTTTTGAGAAACAGATTTTTTGAAAAAAAGAAGTGCCAAACATGGACTGCTTTGCCAGATACAGAGTCGCCACCTAAATATTTTGTTTTGGAAAATTTAGGAAACCCTGACTCGGTGCCAAAGGCCACGTGTCCGTCATCACCAAAGCTGCCTCGGCTCGGGAGCTTGGGTACGATCGGGGAAGGTCAGCTATGAGCACCCCTTCTCGCCCGATCCTAAGATCGGCCTCTACTAACCGTGATATCCATTTTTGAAAATGTTATATGTTCTTATTCCGGTTATTAGCCTAGAATTACTATGTTATGTGCACAGCAAACAAGTATAGACCAAATCGCCTAAATTGGAACAAAACATTTCATGCTTGTTTTGAAAATGGTTTGCTACTCGCAAGTAGGCTAAATACAGGTTTTGCCACCCTCGAGTGGGCTTTTAGAAAAGATGGTTTTGCCACTATCTAGTGGGCTTAAAACTCACAGTTTTAATGCATTATTCCAATTTAGGTAATTCAACCTCCATCCACAGGCATTCAAGCAGTTATATCACATAAGCAGCTAGCCTCATGGTAATCATACTGTCATGGCAACACTCACACGCATGCGATATGCTAAAGCAAGGATTCTTGGGTTTGGAGGCTTGGATAGATATATGGAGGGTTGTATCTATTGCTCCAGCTGGTTTTTTCTCTAACCTAGTATAAGGAAGAGGAGAGCTTCCTTTATAGAGCCAAGAGACTAAAGCTTCTCTTAGAAGCTTCAAACCAAGAGCAAGGATCCTCCATACACGTGTATGGAGGATCCAGTCTGTGCCCTCCAGCTGGCACA